GGAAAAAAAAACACTATTAATATGAAAGTATTATAAAACAAAGCATCTATCGATGTATGCAGGCAGCCTATGGCTTCCTTGTTACATCAGCTCAGGAAATTATCAAATAAATATACTAAAATGACGATGTAACATAGGCAAAATGCATTAAGCTTTGCTGCTGCTGATGATGATGAAGATGCATAACCCCCCTCCCCCACCGCAGTGGTGTCATGCCACTGTAATCTCTCATATGCCTTTATCTTTGACCAGCATGATATTTTTGAATTCAGATATTGTCTTTATTACTACCTACAGTGTAATGCTACTATTTGCATTAAGGTTTTCTTATCTCTAATGAATGTTTCTGATGTTTGTTGTCACATATTACCATTTGAATATATATATTTATATATATATGCATATATAGGCATTACCCAGGCGGCTGACAGAGATAAGACATTGCCATGTTTGAGAAATGCACCACACATTACTTTTGTAAATACTAGGTCTACAAAACTATGTACAACACACATATAGGTAATCTTTATATCACAGTCTATTGCATAATGGTGATAATCTTTAGTTTTATAAATATTGTAAATGTACAGTCTTTAAGTGACATTTCATAATGTCCATCTCGTTCTAAAATCAGATATAGAAAATAAACCATCCGATTTGACCACACATCCTTTGTAAAAATGAAATAAATTAAAATAAAAAAACAGAAAAAAATACATTGATTCCCTTTAATGCACAAATGCTGTCTTGAAACGCAAAGCAATTACTGCACAACACAAAGTATTGCAGAGATCGAATCTGCACCTTGATCTGATGCTCCGAGCATTTTCTGATATTATTTTTTTTTCCAGCCGCTAAAAGTTTTTAGATGTGCTTTTTAAACATTTCAGTATTTCCCAGGTTTGATTTGCACAGACATTTTCCACAGTGATGCCAAAAGATGCTGAATGCTGGACTTGTTTTGTCATCTTCTCGTTGAGAACAAAAACGGTAAAGAAAACACATTCAAAAGCATTCCAGTACCAAAAACGATAACGAAAATCCGAACCGCAAGGAAAACATCAACAGAAAAGAACATCATCTGACACGTTATAGTCACATATGTTAGAGAGGAAGACTTGCGTTTATACTAGAGTTTTTTTTTTCCATATGGTCAATGCCAAATATTCTAGTTGGATTTGCTCATATATATATTTGTATAATATACATTCTTAATATAAGTTGAAGGGGAGGTGTGTCTAAAATATAATACAAGGAAATTCTGTACAGGATAGCTATGAGGTTATTATTTTTTTCTCAGAGGAAGTTGGAGAAAAAAAATACGAGTCTTTTCCCCATTTTTTAGTCTCTCCGTAAAAATCAATCAAAATATCTTTTAAAAAAATGAACATGGAAAAAAAGTAAAACGGGATCATAAATTCGATGCGAACCGCATCTTGTCTTGTTCCGTCTCTGTACTACTTAAGACTGCCGACTCTCTCCTGGAGCCCGTGGAATCCCTGTGCTGGGCACTAGAGGGCACCGTGCGCACCGGCGGTATTGCGCCCGATGACATCTGCCGGAAAAGAGCAACCCTCTGTGGAACGTTGGTGCGGATGCTGCTTTGCGGAACGGAACCCGGGGCCTGGACGCCTGCTGCAGATCCCATGGGTGGCTGAATGGAAGCGAGCGATTCGCCCGATGTGGGATGTGCCCGGGCAGCCAGTGAGATCTCGTGGGGCAGTGACGGCTGCGAGGCAGAGAGGTGGCGTATGTCCTTGCTCAGGCTACCTGACTGGAGTGCCTGCGTGCTCTTGTGGACATCGCTCCTCTGAGGGGACGCCCCTTGCGGTTGTTGGGGAATGGAGGCAGGCGAGGGCTGCTGGGGTAAGGGTTGCTGTACAAGGGACAGTTGGGAGGCCGTCGGCGATCCATACTGGAATGTTCGGCTGGCTATAGGGGTTTGCACTGGGGGACTGCAAATGGATGTG